CTTCACGATTAAACAACCGAGCTCAGAGAACACAATACAACCAAGACCATCCACCTGAGCTACAAATATTCTCCATTGTTTCAAAATCATTATTTTTGTTTAACGATTACAGTGCATCGATTTGTCCTGGAATGCAGACATAAAGATTATCTAGCCAACAGTAGTATATTCTCAAAACCAAGAGAGTGTTATAAAAACCTTGATATTATCTTCCTGAGTACAAATTTATAAGTTGATGCTCCAAACACTTAACTACATAGGAACAGAGTTACAGGTGGTCAGTATTACTATCAGTTGTCTATTATGCACGAAGGTGATACTTAGTTGCTCTATCGGAGTTGCTCCTTTGTCACGTTAAGCCGAGAAAATATAGCTGACCTTAATGTTATTTCTCATCTCTGTTTGTATCGACTTTTTTCAGATTCGCAAAACTTTTTACGAGTAAAAAATTAATCAACAAAATCAACTACTATATGTATCCATATATGAGACATTTACTTCGGAGTGTTGAATAGAACGAGAACTTTTTAATTATTCCCTTCACAGTAATGTCCAATTGAATCGGTGGGAATATCTTGCAGTAATTAGTGAAAACAAAATATCTACATGGTCTATAAGTTTCTGTTACATTGTACAAGAAAACATGACGAAATATAACATAAAAAATGTAATACAGATGATTATAAATACAATGAGAAAGTCAACTGATTGACAGGAAGTGAGATTTTTAATAAATTTCCTGATAAGTATACTAAATTACCAGGATGTTAGTTATGATTACCCTTTTGAACTGACTGATTCTAATGTAGTCTTTATTACAGATTGATGTCAGCTAGAGAAACATTGAAAATAAATGAGTAATGAATAGCTGTTTCTGACGTCTTTCGTGGTCCGTGAATCTACACCACAATCCCATTTTGGATCAAGTACGTTATACAATTCAACCCGATAGGTTTGAATACAATGGTTCATATACACCGTTATAATTTTATTTTGATATAAAGTTGAGTAAACAGCCATTGTAAATTATGCTGTCTTAAGAAATTTAATGAAGATCGTCCCTTTGAAGACATAAAGGATAGATCTCATCAATGAATGAAGTCACTAAGTAAAAGCGCGTGAAACTAACCACTTTTTCCTAATTTCCCACCATTCAATAAGTTTTCACCTTCAGCCCCTCATTCTTAACAGAACTCATGGGATATACAAAGAAGTCACTAGGTTGACAGAAACCAATAGCATATCGTGTTTTAAACTTAGGCAATCAACGACAGTATAATCACATTCCAACATTTTCGATAGCCGACCATCCCAACTACTGAATGAGAATCCTACTGGTCATTTTTAAGAATATTCCGACTAGGATATAAATAATGAGAAAAAGCTAGAACCTTCCAAAAAAGTAAATCAGGTCAAATTAATACGTAACAGTTACCAGTTATTAAACGTCACATCTTCATGTCAAGATATCAGATAATAAAATGAAGGATACCGGATATATAAATAACACAATCAAGTTGTAGAAAGCCACAAAACAAAAAGAAGGTAGAAATGTAACAATCAAATGAGATGTAACGATTAAGAAGAAGAAAGGCGGTGTACACATCCCCTTTAGTGAGATTGATTCTAAGTCATATTATCTAGGGTCTGCAACCATCGGTTTTGATTGTATCATGGACGCCAGTCTGGTAGTCTACATCATCGGACACAGTTTAAACTCACTGTCAAATGCTACTTCTTATAAAACTATCCTTGGTGTAATTAACACTGTGCATCAGGGTAGGTAATGAGTAGGCAAGTACAACATATAAGAGAAGCTCTCAGGAACCTTCGAAATGATAGCAATATAGTAACTGCCAAATCAGACAAAGGCAACTGAACAGTTGTGATGAACAAATCTGACTACATCTACAAAGTGAATTAGCACATAGAAACAGGACTATATGAAGAAATTAAGAAATTAGTGGATACTATTATGAATAAGGTTAAGAAATCGACAAGGTATCTGATACACTGGATGAAGCAATTTCTAGGTGGGTCAAAATGGTTTAATTTAATGCCAAAACTAATAATCCCAGTAGAATATATGGTATTATTCAGATTCATAAGCCAGGCCATCAGGCCTATAGTAGATTTTAGAAATACTCTAACTCACGAGCTGTCTAAATATTTAGCAATGGTGTTAGGCCCAATAAGAAATCACTCAAAATCTCGATTTACCAACTCTTATGACAAAGTATAGATTAGACGACATGCACTTAAATGATAATGAAAAAATGATTAGTTTTGACATAACTAGGCTTTACACAAATATACCGATCGACATGGCTCTAGAGGCAGTTAGAAATGGGCTTAAAGATGACAAGGAGCATGTGCATCGAACTAAGGTGTCGATCGAGGAAATCATACTAGGAGTACGATTGTGCCTAACATCTACAGTTTTTAAGTTTCAAAATAAGATATATAAACAAACTGAAGGAGTTGCCATGGCATCGTCAATATCCCCTATCGTCGCAGACATATTTATGGATATTTGGGAACAGATGCCCCTATATGTAGATGATACGTTTACTGAACATTAGGTTCTTGGCAAATATAAAGTTAGTAGTGAATGGAATCGAATTCACCTGTGACTTAGAAAGTTATGAGGCTGAGCCAGCAATGTTGGATTGCAAGATTAAACGAACACAAGATGGAAGTCTAGAGACTAGTGTCTATAGGAAACCTTCCCATTCGAATTGCTACGTAGACTTCAAATCCTCCTACCCCATTTAAGTTAAAGTAGGTTTAGTTAAATGACTAAGTGAAAGGGCAAGAAAACCTTACTAGTAGACAAGAAAATCTACGACAAGTGCGACATATCCCAACAAATTGAATCGATAAAATCTCACTACCTCATCAGCTACTTCACTTCACAAGGTGATATTGATTACGGATTGATATCACTTTTAGAACCATTGAAAATCTAGGAGCACTGAACAGTTATTACATCTTACTATGGGACTTCTCAACAGTGGGCATCCATGACCCTGTGATAAATACCGCCCAGAAACCAACAAAATTCTCATAAGCCTCCAGACTAAAGTACAGTCCATGGCACATTAGTAACAAGCTTCGAGATGAGATTTCCTGGAGTTTTAATAAGAAGTCGTGACCTGTGAGGCGAACCACATCGGAATTGAGGACAAATCAACGATGATATTGGATGATGGTCGAGCTATATCAGGATTTAGCAGAAGCAGAAAAATATTATAGACTATTGGATTCCAACCCAGTGCTCAATGGAAACGCGATTTAGAGGTTCTGGGTTCAATCCCTGACGAGGTCATGAGTGCGCACTGGTGACCAGTTCCATTCTAGGACGAAACAGCTGTCCAGTGCTCTCATGTTATCAGTGTTTCTCCAAGTGATGTTAAACTGTTATGAATACCACCCTGAAATCAATAAAATTCCCAGAAACTTAAACTACGTATCACTCACTTGTTGTTTCTACAACAGGTAGATGTCATGGAGGTAAGGGTGTTCAAGCATTTGGAACTCTCCTATTCCCTTCACCTTTAATCGCCATGCTACATAACATAGAGAATGGCAAAGTGAACCACTGCATAATACGCTAAACCCTTATCACCTGTAGTTTACTATGAATTGTCCAACCCAAGTCAACATGTAGAAAACGAGTGGAAATACCCTAATACTACCAACATTAGAATATTAATCATATTTCTTGATATCTTCCAGTTGAATATAAAAAAGGCGCTTTGTCTTTCTTAAACCTCCTAGGACAGATGCCAAAGTATCTTTATATGAATAACGAGTGCATCTCAGATCCCACTGCCAGTCCGTATCAAAAAGATGGGTACACGCTGTTTGACCAATGAAAAGACCCTACAACATTTGGATTTCACCAATGATGATAACTCACGTCTAATGTCTTGTGGCAGATGTACAGGCAAAACCAAGAAGTTGACAGAAGAGGTGAGGCAGAGAAGGAAGACGGGACTTCAAGTGAATGTAGAGAAAACAGAGGTGGAGGTGATGAAGATACCCAACTAACAACAACAACAACAACATCAACAACAAGCACAAATCACCATGAAGGAGAGAAAACTTAAGGAGGTTGTCTCTTTCACCTACCTCTCTACCTACACAGCATCGTTTCAACTATAGGTGGCGGTGGCACAGATGAGGATGTCAAAGACAGGATGGGAAAGGCAGCAAGATAGGCCTTCCTTCATCAACCTGAAACCAACCAGTGTGAAGATCTACTCCACTCCACTCCACTCCACTGCACTGCACTGCACTGCACTGCACTGCACTGCACTGCACTGCACCGCACCGCACCGCACCGCACTCAGCATAAAGCGTGAACAATATCCGGATTTTAACACTAATGTCAGTCAAGTGAGTCAGTGCTTCTATGTGATGGTTGAGAACTTGGCGGCACGTTATGAAAAGCATTTGCAACAAACTGCAGACATTCATCATCAACAGGTGCTGCCTACGCTCACTCGCTACTGACACTGAAGATCAGATGGCCAGAATAATAAAAATAAGCAACAAGGAACTCTGGCTGGCTGGCTGGCAACGAACCAACCAAGAACTCATAGCCTAACATGTATGCAGAAGGAGAAAGTGGAGATGGATTGGATTGGCATACACTGAAAATGCCATTCGGGGATATCGCACGCCAGTTCCTCGAGTGGAACCCGAATGGGAAAACGACGAGTAGGGCGTGCGAGGCGAGGGTGATATGGAGCAGATAGTGTGAGGAAGAAATGAAAGGTTGTGGGTAGTTGTGGAGCGAAGTTTTGAAGACTGGAGAGAAGAGAGTGAAATGGTGACGTGCTACTGAAGCTCTGTTTTCCACTAGGAGCCCAAGCAACAATTAATAATAATAGCCGAAGAAAGAGCATTCAAATAAACTGACATCAAGACTTTACAAAACACATTCAAAGGGTAGAATGGTTTTTACCACACAAACAAACAAAATAATAACTTACTATCGACATACTGATGATTCACTGTATTCCCACGATAACGCTAGTATAAGAAACAGAGAAATAAAGAATAAGGATGGAATTAAATCCTCTTCAAAAACGCCTCAATGTATACAGGACGAAATGCGTATCCTGGATTCCACTGCTAACCACTATCCATCATTAGTACACATAATTAAAACACAGGCAATATCGAGGCATCCGTACAGGAGCCCATATGCCAACAGAAACTGATCAATTCAGTCCAATTAACGACGGTGTAATAGAAGCAACAACACTATATGGGATAAGACTAAACTATTCCGAAGAAATTTGATTTGATTTCTGAGAATTCTGTTTCAAGCAATATGTCCGATAATCAGACAAAAATAAATAGTATGCTTACATTCTACTAACTTACCACTCTCTCTCTCTCTCAGCATACAAACAGAAATATAAGAGTATGATTTAGGTCCTATGGTGGAGTACAGTTTCATTTTAATTCATTAATTAGACGTAGCATCACAGTGACTGAATAACTTCTTGGTAAAGTCTCTAACTTGAGCATTGAGTGATACAAGTTCAAATCAACAAGGGAAAATCAATTTTATTATGAATGAAGACAAATTTTGTTGATGAATACTAACAAGGATGAAACTAATGTGAAGTAATCTCTGCCAACTGACTCCTACCACTTAGGATTAGTCTTATTAAGTAAATAATACTGCTCAACTGCAAGCTATATATAATATTGAGACTAAAAATAGGACTGGATTTTGAGCAACACAGTGGATGGATATTCTGGAACAGAACTGTTGAGGGTGAACATTTTCTGCTCAAATTTCATAAATTTATCTTACGAAAAGTTTGAATTATCTTTTTCGCGACGTTTTTCTACCGAATGTATCACTCAGTGTTACTGCTTTCAAGAACGTTGTTTTCTTATTGGTTAATCTTCCAGTGTTGATATGCAATTTTGTCTATTCGCCTCAAGGTCACATGCATTATATACAAAGGTGGGAGTTGTGTCGCTAGTTTATATCTTCATACTTCGATTGGAGTAAAGTTGCTTCGGTTCAACATTGTCTTCTTCTTGTGTTGGCTCAACCAGTTGTCGAGCATCGTAGCTTTCATTCAGTAACTGGATTCAGCATTCACAAGTAGTCGTATTCGACAGTCTCAAAAAGACCACGATAAGTAATTTGTCGGGTATTGATCAACAATGAAATTGAGGGCTCGTCAGCTGGATGTGCTTGACGGTGTTCCTGCTACAACTGAAACCTACTGCCATCGCTTTAAACGATAGAGTGTTAACCTAATAGGCCATAAAGTCACGACAACTATATTTTGTGCATCAGTTGTTAGTTGTTTATTGTCACTTGCAGTTTTCGGCTTGAAATCCCCTTCACATTCATTATGACAAGTTCCAAATAAGATAAAATACTATCCTAGATTCAACTGTTAGCCACTACCAAGCAAATTACGTCATAAAAAAACCTCAGGAAATATAGTGGCAAGGTACAACGTCAAACTTTAGATTGTCTGATTCTTGCCATAGCCCAAATAATGAGATGTGGGTTTTACTGGATGATATTAATATTACAACTGGGATCAATGGTTTAATACATTAGACGATATGCCTTTGAATCAATTACAGTGGCGAAAATGCATCCACTCCTTATCTTCATAGAAATCTTTAAAAAATCTATTGGCAAACATCACTTATTCCTCTTTTTCTTTTACCTTCCTGCTTAATAATATCGCTAACAATATGCACTATACAGAGGGAAAATGGTTTTTTTTCGGCGTAAAATATACACATCTAGCAGTAACTGAATAGACAAAACACACACGAACAACATGATCAGTATACTATTTCGGCTTGTCAAATACTGATCTATCTGATCACTGAATTCAATTATTCCAGAGGAAATGGAGATTGTACCAATAATCTGTGTTTTCACCAGAAAAAATTGAAAATACATAATTATGCAAGAATGAGGAGTTAAATAACGAGAAACATGTTTTTCGAATAAAAAAAAAAGCGGAAAGTTATGAATGCTGATCATTTGTTACACCTACCTGTTCGCTTAAATTCAAAGAATTCATTCCGAGTAACTCAGAATCCAACAATGACAACGGAGAAGTATACAGACCTATAATAATAATAATAACATTCAGAAGGGAAAGAAAACAATACACTTAACCATACAATATAAACATGTGCGACACGATTATTCTAGATAGTAGTGTAACACATTCAAAACCTTGCCCATTCACCTTCCAGTTTCGGTTTCTAGACTGTCTCACCTCTTCATTGTCCAGCTTTACCGTTTATCAGTTATTTTTTATGATTAAGTATAAGTACATCCTGTGCACTTGCTGTCGTCAGCTCACATTTTTTTCGCTTCCTCTCTCCCCCTCCAGATTCTCTTGGTCACCACCAAACTCACACTGCTCTACGCACCCCCCTGCAATAACGTACCTACCTACAAACCGGATAAAAACGTATCAAAAGCTGGTCGTTACAGTAGGAATGATGAAATGCCAATGCCGTCATCATCATTATTATCAGAACAACAGGAATAATAACCTGGTTAGTAAAGTGATAAACACTATAAAGTAGGTGGAACTGTGAACGTTCACATCAACATAATCTATCGGTTACGGTCCGTGAAACGAATAACTTCGAAGAGGGATGAAGAAAAATAAGAGAGAGCATAATAAGCACGCGATAAAATTAGGTTCTTTCATTTTTATACAACACTACAATGTCTATGATTGAGGGTAAGTGAGATTGCATGCATTCACTTTAGATGACAGTATATAGAGTAGAGATGATCACAAGATCGCAAAAAGATGTATAATTTCCCTTAAAAACTAATCAAACTCAAAATGATTTTTTTTCTGTCTCTCTAGAAGCAAACATCCTCTTGTCCTTTCAACAAAATGAAAAATGACTGAGAGTTTTTTGTATCGCCTAAAATTTAATTATTGTTTAAAAATCTTATCCAAATTCACTTCTTTCCTGGAATGTAATCAATAGTATTCGATATCTTCTAATCCCTTTATCTGATAACTTGTATTCATAAACTAAGCTCTTGAAACAAACTATCATGCATCCTTAATCCTTGAAAGAAGTTATACCATAACTGATACATCAAAAATGTATGCAACCATTCGATTTGTGCTCTTAAATGGTAACAGCCAGTGCAATTAAACAATAAAATGAATCACAATTCAAATGAAATCCTTCTAACCTCAATAACTTCGCTTTCTTATAGGTGTGAGCAACGTATTTTCAAGCATACAGAACTATCGTTTTATAATATACAATATAATCTGTAGGGATTAACCGACAAAATCACATTTTAGTCACATGGTTATAAAGTCAGTCACAGCTAAGACGAATACTCATGAAATAAAATAAATGATGAGCTTAAAGATTGAAAGATAATTTTCGATTTGTACTGGATAGCAACCTAAAAAGTTCAAGTTGATATTCACCATAGACTGACATTAATTGGAGAACCATTGAAAAACAGGTAGCACTGACAAGTATTTCGTCTTAGTATTCAACCCAATCCATCTCCACTTTCTCCTTCTGCATACATGTTAGGCTATGAGTTTTTGGTTGGTTCGTTGCCAGCCAGCCAGCCAGCCAGAGTTCCTTGTTGCTTATTCTTATTATTCTGGTCGTCTGATCTTCAGTGTCAGTAGCGAGTGAGCGTGGGCAGCACCTGTTGATGATGAATGTCTGCAGTTTGTTGCAAATGCTTTTCATAACGCACTGCCAAGTCCTCAACCATCACATAGAAGCACTGACTCACTTGACTGACATTAGTGTTAAAATCCGGATATTGTTCACGCTTTATGCTGAGTGCGGTGCAGTGGAGTGGAGTGGAGTAAATCTCCACACTGGTTGGTTTCAGGTTGATGAAGTAAGGCCTATCTTGCTGCCTTTCCCATCCTGTCTTTGACATCTTCATCTGTGCCACCGCCACCTATAGTTGAAACGATGCTGCGTAGGTAGAGAGATAGGTGAAAGAGACAACCTCCTTAAGATTTCTCTCCTTCATGGTGATTCGTGCTTGTTGTTGATGTTGTTGTTGGTGGTGGTTGGGTATCTTCATCACCTCCACCTCTGTCTTCTCTACATTCACTTGAAGTCCCGTCTTCCTTCTCTGCCTCACCTCTTCTGTCAACTTCTTGGTTTTTGCCTGTACATCTGCCACAAGACATTAGACATGAATTATCATCATTGGCAAAATCCAAATCTTCTATGCTCTTTTCATTGGTCAAACAGCCTATGCCCATCTTCTCACAGCTCCTCATGGTTCGCTGCGTGATCCAGTCCAGTTGACCACAATCAGGAAGATCATCCGTGATAGTAGGCAGCCTCATCTTACTCCTTCCTATCTTCAATTCAAAGGCGTCACTGAGCTTTCCATTATGAATCACTTGGCATGTAGTGCCCTATAGTATTATATAATTGTTGAATGAGATTGATAAAGATTTGTGGCACTGAAACAGTAGTGTTGAAACAGCTGCCTGGCAAGCTACTTCTCGGTCGACGCTGCTGAAGGCCTTGCCAAGTCGATGAAGTTGAAGTGAGCTAGGGAGTTGACTGGCATTCTATACTCTGTTCTATGATGATGGGTAGCGTAGCGTTACAATGTGAACCACATATGATTTGTTCTACCTGAAGCCAACCGGAATGTTCCAGTCGTAATTTTTAATCCAACACAAAATATATCAGTCTCTTTAGGATGGTGCGGCTGAATATTTTGCTTGAAATGGACATTAGCATGATTCCTCGGCGGTTCTTGCAGAGATTTAGGCCTCCCTTGCTTTGGAGTTTGACAAGGTAACACTTCTTCCAATCTGCATCCTTCCAAACCTTCTACAGTAGTCGTGTGAGCATGTCCGCTGTTGTCTTTGCGTCTCTTCTCATTGCTTCTGGAGGGGGAGGGGGGGGTTGCACCTGGTCCTGCTGCTTTCCCAGGTTTCAGCAACTTTATAGCGTTCAGGACTTCACTTCTGTTCTTATCAGAGGGATTGTGTTCACTGGTAGTTCTGCCATTGCTGTTGGTATTTCTAGACGAGGTGCAGGTGGTAGTGGTGGTGGTCGATTCAAGAGCTTTTTGAAGTGATCAGCACTTCGTTTCCTTTGTTTCTCCTCTTTGACGATAACTAGCTTTCCTTCACTATCTCTCATTGGTTTCGTATGAGTTCATCTCTTCCCAGATAATAAGTAAGCTGGCTATTTGATATAATGCAGTCAGGTCTCTCCTACCTGCAGCCTCCTCTGTTCCACTTCCCAGTGTGTCGTGGAAGTGTCTTTTGTCTTTGTGCACACTCTTCTTCACTTATTTGTTCAGTGTTTTATACTTTGTACTCAGTTACTCTTTTCTTTCTTCATCCCCCTTCACTGCACTGCACTGCTTCATCTTACGCTTCACCATGAGCAGCTTCACCACCTCTATCAGCTTCCATGTAGCCGTCGAGATCCATTCCTTGTCTTCTTTCCTCTTCTTTTCTAATACCGTTATGCAGGTTTCTTTCCAAATACCTTTCAAAGACTTCCAGTGTTCTTCCACACAGGTTCATGCAGGGAGGTCGCTCAATGTCTCCCATTTTGTCCTGATGACTGACTAAAGTGAAGATTTCCTTTGTAGTTTAGTCCTTCAGTTCAGTTCCTGTTCTGGGTGTTCAACTTCAACTGCCGTCTATCACCAACTTCCTTAAATTGAAGGCTTTCAACTTGATTTTGAAGTTAGGTTACTTGCACTAGATAATGAGTGGTGGGAACCTACATCTGCTCCTCTTCTTCATCTGATTTTGCTTGTGTTCAGTAGGCTGAGTCTCCACTCTCTTCACATACACATCAAGTCGATCTGATTTTTAGTGTAGTGTGTCTGGTGTCTGGCGAAATCAAATCCATGTCACTGCTTTGTGAATATCCTTGTGTTTGTACACAGTGCCTAGCCTCCAATCACCAAATCGTTGAATGTGCAAAAATTTGCAAACAGTTCTCCATTCTCATTCCTCATTTCACCGAGTGCTTCTCCACCCATAGTGGATGAGTTCTCTTCCTGTGTTGTCCTCTCCCCGCAGTTTTACATTCATGTCACCCCAACCATTAGAATTTTAATGTCACCAACTGCGTTGGAGTCTTGTCCATTACTGATTGCAGTTGTCTATAGAATTCCTCCTTCTTCTCTTCATCTGCATTATTTATAGGTGCGTAGCGTAACACTATATGATTGTAGCTTTCCTTCCTTGGAATTGAATCCATCTTGCTTTCATGATCCTGATCCAGCAGGAGGAGATTGGTTCCCACTGCGTGAGAGAGACAGAGAGCCTTCGATGCTCTTGGACACATCATGATAGCCACTCGAAAACACAGTGTGCCCGTCATTGTCGTCTAGGTGACAATATCAGAGTAGATTATTGACTCCTCTCCAGTTGACAGTTAGGAGAGTCCACTTCCATTCCATCTAGTTTCGCAGATTTCTAGCCTAGCACTTCAATGCTATACCCCCTCATCTCTTTTGCAATCTGGGCAGTCTTGTCAGACGGCCAGCTTCGAACATCGTGTGGACATTCCATATCCCCATATTTACTTTGCTTTCATTGAGAAAAGAGAAGACACATTGGCCAATTGGCTTCCCGAAGGCTTTCACCAACTGGCGTCATTTCGCCTCTTCGATTCCAGAGAGGAATGGGTTTAATTTTATGTTTTCTTTGTGCTTTGAAGTTTGTTCAGCGGTTGGATTGGTTTGATGGGGTAGGGTTGCTAGCCGTATGCCCAACCTTCCCTCTTTCTTCGGGCTTAGGACCGGTTAGTAACTAGTGAACTAATTAACCAGGCGAGGCACCAACAGATGCATAATACAAAATAATAGAGCAACGTTGTGAAGAAACACAAGAAACTGAAGAGAAAACATACACAAACGCAGACGTGGATTATTAAATAAGCAGTCTCAAAGACAGTTTCAAGGAAACAAGAAAACGGTAGCATAATCCCTTTTTACGAACACTTTCATCGTGTTTTGAGCGTGAGTTAATTCACATGGGCAGAACATTGATTATATCAGTTTAGGCGTTGTTCTCAGAGTAGTAGCTTTGTAAAAGAAATAAACTATACGCTTTC